TATGTTGATATCACAATAACATTTTTGTCTCTCTTGTTCTAGTAATTATAATAATATTTGTTGAGAAGCAGCCATTATATAAAAGAAAAATCAAGAAAATAAAATTCTGCCAGGAATTAGGGTAACTTATTCTCCGCTTCTTTCTTTACTGGAAAATGCTCTTCTCGGCAATGCAACGCAACGCATACATTAAAGTGAATAATGAGAGTCACATGACATATAAACTACAAAGTGAATACGTGTCGCATTGCTTCCTGTCTAGGTCAGAACGTTGAATGCGAGAATAAGATCAGCAGGATAACTGGATTATATGGGGGATATCTGACATGTAGTAGCGAGAATTATATTCATGTCGAAACAACACTGTCGTAAAAGCTTTAGGTTATATTTCTTTTTATCGTAATATTCTGTGTTATGATTATATAAAAAACATCACACTGATTCTAACAAGAAGTATTGTAATTACCTAAAACTAGAAGACAAATTGTTAACGATCGATCAAAAATTTTCCCTTAATTTGATAATTTTGACCAATTCCTTGGTCATATTTAAACTTTTTCTCTTTTGTATATTGATAGACATAATTTTTGGAACATTATATTCTGGGCTTGTAGATCTGGAATGTAATACCCCATTACAAAATACCGGCCTGAGAGAACTAAACTTATTAATGAAACGTTTTTACTGTGAATTTAAAAACAGTTATCAGTCGCTCTCATAATGAGTGCTCGTAATCTCAGAAGTGAGTGTTATATCCTTGCTGTCACATCAAGCAGAGTAATGTTTGAAAACATAATTGGTAATGTCTAGTCGGAAATTTATGAATTATTTCAGGAAATTCAATTCAATTCAAACCACGTAAAACAAACTCACCTCATTGGAAGAGATCGATTAAAGACCTAAAGGCTGACAAGGATACCTTTGTCAAGAGTCAAATTTCTTAGATTTGTTCCATTCCTCAAACAAGATCTAGTTCATCATGAAACAACAAACATATTGCTTTTTTATTACATATTGGTAGAACGAAAACCCAACGAAAAACTTGGACATAAATTATACCGAAAGCAAACGTTAACTAGAAACAACTAGAATCACCATTCTAAACTATAGAGGGGAATCATACATGAAATATTCACGATTCGTGCTACCCGAATGTATAAACCGAATATTTGGAAGAAAAGTTTAAACATATTGAAAAAGTCTTGGGACAGAACAGTTATATCCCAAGATACATCAAGCGGTCTATATGTCCAAAACGAATTAACCACCGTATCGAAAAATACAACGAGAAAAAAGGTAACGCTTTCTTGGGACAAACTCATGGACAAAAACATCGAATATTTTGGAATTTTCAATTTTGTTTTGGTTGAAAATAAATTCTAGTCAATCAAGTCGTTATTTTAACAATGTTTAATTTTAAGTTTTTATTCGGAGAAAAATTGCAAAAAAATAATGCTAAATGTTAGGTAAATATGATTTTACTCTAAAGTTATATACTAATTCAAATTGCTTAAACAAGTCTTTTTAGCTCTTAGCTCTTATTTCTGCTTGCATCCTTCTCGGCATGCTCGCAAGTAAATTTTGGACATATCCTTCATTCCACTCATCCTGTACAGCAAGTCGAACCTGCTTTATCGTATTTGGATCGTGGCCAATACAATCTTCTAATTTAGACCTCATCAAGATAATTACTTAATATGGTAGCGGCATGTGGTCGAGCATTATCGTGCATTAACATGAATCTGTCATATTCAATGTAATCAACATATGGCAAAACATGATCTTGTAGGATGTTTTGAACGTAAGAGTCACCAGTCATTCGTCCAATCACTTCACAAGTGCGGTGCATCCCTTACATCTAATAACTTTCAAAACATTATGCCACCACCTCCAAAACTAACCTTCTAGGCGAGATTGTAGATGACGAATCATTCTTCAACTCTTCTGAAGACTCTTCTTTCGATCATCTGGCTTCCATAGAAGAACATTTTTCCAGTTGTTGATATTCCACTGAATATGTGTCCTTACAAATTCAAAAAGACGAGTTTTAAGATATTGGAGAAGACGTGGAACTTTGGTAGGGCCTCTAGGCTTTAAGTTTGCTTCTTTTCCAACGGTTCTAACTCACATTAACTTCTCTAACATTTAGTAGCTCATTTCTGAGGTCCATCGATATCAATGAGCGATTTCGTGTAGAATTAAGAACCAAAAAAAGGTTATCAATTGCGGTTGTGCACCTTGGGCGCCCTTAACCAGACCTTCCTACAAAATTTCCAGTCTTGTGGTACCTTTTTAAAGTATTCGAAACTGAAGATTGACTTCTCCCGAGACGTTGTGCGGTATATTCTTGTGTATATTCTTCCTCGTACAAAATAACAATATGCCATACGATATTATGTTATTTATTCGAAAATAAGTTAAAATGTAGCTGGTTATTATTTAAAATATACTTCAGCCTCGTTATTTGCTTGCTTGTTATTCGGATGAAAGCAGGGAACCACTTTTTTCGTTTTTGGAATAAGCTTTCAGTCTCTGAAGTATTTTCCAAAAACTATCAAATCTTCCGTCAGTATGTTGCTTGTGCCTTATATTGTGTTGTAGCAGGTAGCTAGTGCTAAGTCATCAGCGTATGTATATTTCTTTGCTAAAGTTGGAGGGATGTCGGATGTATACATATTGAAGAGGATTTTGGCAAGCACCGATTCTGGAGGAACCCTTCAGATTATTTAAAAAGACCTATCGCATAGCATATTGTTTAGTAGGGTAGCAAGTCAGTTACACGGTATACTATTGAGAAATTTAAGGATAAGTCCATACCTCCATACGGTGTCGTAAGCAGCAATTAGATCAATACAAGCTACTGTAGTTTTTATACTTCGTTGAAAGCCAGCTTCTATATGTGTGTTAAGACTGAGCGCTTGATACTTAGCCACATTCTTACGTTTCTCCCACAATGTATTAGAATTATGCATGGATTCTGTCAAATCCTGGTGCTTTTCCGATTTGGAATCGTTCAATGTCTTACTAACCTCCTCTATTTTAAAAGGTTTAGAGTATTGTGTGGGCTCCGATTGTTAGGCGGAGATTTCTAAGTCCTCTTTTAATTGCTGTATGGTATCCATTAACTTTTAATGATTTGGAGAGCTTTACTACCTGTGCAGCTATTTGCTTGGCTGTAACTTTCTTCTGTTTACAAGTCGGAGGGTTGGAGAAACCTAATTTCTTTAGAAGACTCCATGCTTTCTTATTTGATTTTTTGAAGTCTATATATCTTCAACGTTTCATCCCATTTCTTGCGGCGCTCAACGTCTAATTTTTTAAAAAGTTGATCTGCAATCTCAAGATCACCACTCTCGTGGAATTCTTCATAGAGTTGCTCTATGTTGCGATTACATTTCGGTATGTATTCCTTTCTATGCTTATGTGGCACATATTTTTTAGAAGTTGCTGTAATATCGTTGGTAAATCTATGTGACTTAGAAATACTGTTAGATGGAATCTCTCTAACAATTCTATCTAACAAGTTCATCAGTGAATTGGCCTAATTAGCCTTTTTGAAGTTCCATCTTGGTCTAGGAGTGGAGTGAATAATTGGGATTTTGTAACATACTTCAAGAATTATGGGGCAGTACTGGTTGTGTTGAAAATTATTTAGAACTTGCCTTGAAACTGAAATGCTAATTTAAAGGAGCTCTTAGCTTTGTCGTCGAATTTTAGACTTGGATTATTTACCTTTATCCAGCTATGTAGTTGTTCTCCGTTGTTATCGACTTTTCTTATTTTTAGGTATTATTCACAAATTCTGGACAGTCTCGTCTAACACTCCAAAACGGGACCCAGCTTTTAACCTGAAACACAAATTCTGTATTGAGCGCATTGTACCAGTCTATTAATCCTGTTTTGTGACATAATAAAAGGACTTTTAGTTTTCGTCAAATTAATGCAACAGTTATACTCTACGCATTCCTACTAAAACCTGAAATTAGCTAGATCCTTAGATCAAGAAGACTGGGTCGGTTAGGTCACCGGACGAGAATGAAAAATGAACTATGGGTCAAGGACTTATTGTTGAAAACCGAAGAAAATAAGGGAAGATTTGTAAATTAGCGAAATTTAAAAACTTTCAAATATTTTTAAAATTATATTGTATTAGAAATAGGATTATTTATTTGTCTGATTGGAGAATCTATCGAAACTGAATTAATGACCAATGTCTATGCCATTAAAAAAGCTTTATTAATTTGTAAGGATTTAAGTACCGTTAAATCCATACCACTATGTATACAAAGGCACAGCAATTGAAAGCTAGCATATAATTGTTATTGAAATGTTTTCTAAATAGGATATTTTTCGATTTGTTTATTGAACAAATATGTTAATAAGCACTTTTGATTTAATAGTCAAAATATTAATAATAAGTTTATTTTCTAATTAAAATATTGTAATGATACAGATAATTTTAAAAACTAATTTTGTAATATAAACTAAGATTAGTAAATATCTGATCAACCTTAGCATAATCTACGAGTAGATTAGAAAACAATATTCAAATTTAGAGGCAATTTTCCATGGATATTTTTGAAATTTTTATGATGGAATAAATCTATTCATTATTTTAGAAATAAGACCATTAAGGCTTAAAATCTAAACGTATCGAATAACAAGCGTGATAAGTACAGTCATGAATTAATTTCATTCAAGCTGTTTTAAACCTACGTCAACATAAACTTTAGTTATCCTTTCCAGTCGCTACGATATACCGCGACCTGCAGGTCCTTCAATTCCAAAGATCTTATCCTCCGACAAGAGCATCGGGTGCCATGCAGAAAGAAGCATCTAATAGCAAACTCGAGAATTCCGACGCTCACCGTTGTCGTCGTCGTCTTTGCGTCGACGTCGACGTCGCCGTGACCTCTCTCCCCACCTCCAGGGAGTCCCCCACGACCCGACATCGGTTACGTAACAACATAACGTCGAATTGCGGTGTTATCGGGGCATTCAGTAGTAGTGGCAATACCAGCTCCGTCTGAGTTCGCTACGGACGCCTTCTCCAGCGGATATCGGTTAGTGGGTGTCGTGCACGACGTCGCTTTTTTGCTCTCTTGGGATGTGACACCGTATAATTCGCGTGTGTCCTTGACTTTTTGATATTGTGTGACAGTTCGCATTGAAGGAGGGATGTAAAAGTTAATTGGATCGCTGTTTCTGGAATGTAAATATTAGGTATATTATATTTTACTAGCGAAACATGCGCGTTTTCTAGTTTTACGTTTTGCGAAGTTGTAACTCTGGAAAATTTAATTAAAAACTGTCAATGTCATAGTCGAAAAAAGATAATACTTACGATATCAAATTGTTAATATTTCAATTGTAAGTCCAAAAATTGATTTTTAAGTCCGAAAACATGATAAATCAGAAATATTTTAATGCCCAAATATTTTATGTTTTTTTTGACTGTTTTACGATTTAAAACACAAAAAAATAGCTAACAAATACAAGTAATTTATGTTTTTCATAAACAAAAACAAATTTATAAATATAGTATATATATATAAATATACATACTATTACTAATAAAATTACATACTATCCATTATTGTGGGACCTCCAAATAAATTTGGATAGGGATTTATCGGACCTTTTTTACATTATATCTGTATAAGTAGGAAAGGTGTATTAAAAAAACTGGAAAGAACTCTCGCAAATAATACACAATGTCTAACTTATAACCCATCATCAGGGCCGTCGATAACGGGCCTGCCAGGGATGTAATTCTGACGGGCGCTTCAGTTTGTGGTCGCCAAAATGATTTTTTTTTCTGCTAGTGTTATACAAAATAGTAAAATAAAAAATTAATTTTTTTAAATGTGATTTTTCAGTCATAATACGCCATTCTGTGTTATTTTTGCATACCACTCACACTATTTACATAATATATTTACCAATAGAATTTATTTGTAAATATATTGTATTTTAAAAAAGAAACAACTTTATACTTATTTAATATGCTTTGTTTATTTTCATCAAATTTCTTTGAAGCTGTTTAAAGGTTTTGTTTCAGCAGTTAAGAGTATAAATGAATAATTTGTTGTAAAATAAAAATTTTACATAAAATTTAGTTTATCATGAGCTTTTTCAATTTAGTATTTTATGTATTTAGTAATACAGAATAGTTTGTCAGCTTAAGTGTGTAAAATTAAAAGAACATTATCTAGTGTTGCATTCAATTAACATAAAATTATATTTCGTAAATATACTGTGCTTTTATTACATTGCGCTTTCACCCTACATGCATAATATTGAGGTTTTAAAGTTCTTAAGTATTTTTATTTAGTTAAATACTAAATTTTGTACGATTGCCAAAAGATTAAATAAAAATTATAATTAGATTAAAAAAAAACCGAAGAGCGTCTATGCTAGTTTTGCAGGTGGACACCTTACACCCTAGAACCTGGACTACCTATCATCATTATCGATGGCACGACAACTCTTTTTGGGTCTTGGCTTAGTCCAGGATTCTTTTCGATTCTGATCTGTTTCGTGCTTTTTTTCTCCAATTTTGTTATTTTGTTGTTTTATATTTCTATTTTTTCGATGTATCTCAGCTTGGATCTTCCTCTTGGTCTTTTTTTTTCTACGGGCAATTGTTTGCTATTTTGTTTAGGATTTCGCCTTTTTTACATTTTTTCATATTCCGTCCTAAGAACATGTTTTCTTCGAAGATCTCATGGAGAGATATTGCTTAGGATATGCAGCCAATAAGTAGGAGTAGACCTGATGTTGCAGGTTATAATCTACGTGGCGTGGTTTAATTGTACATATTTTTTTGTTGTTGTGAATGCTGTTTGACCAAACAGGGGCGACATTCTCATCTACTGAAAAGACCAGATCCAGGACGGACATTAGTAGAGTCTCGGCTAAATCTCCTCAAATAGACACATATCTTGTAGAGGATATTGTTTCTAATTCTAATTTTAGTAGAAAGTTTTGTTAGATGTTCCCTGAACATCAACGTTCCGTTTAATGTAACTCCCATGTAACCTAGCAAATTTGTTGACTTTCAAAGGTCACATCGAGTTCTTTTATTTCCATATTCTTAGTGAGATGCAAGTAGCATGTTTCTGTCTTGTTTGCATTTGGCTGAAGTCTTTATTTACGAAAGTAATTGCCAAGACTTCTGAGGTCAGCTGTTAGAGTTTGTTCGGCCTTTTCAAAATTTTGCTGTAGGGGGGCTATTGCACAGTCATGTGCATATCCGAATTTCTTGGATTGGGTTTTGGGCATATCTGCAATGTAAAAACTAATCAAAATTAATGCCAAGATTGAGCACTGTGGATTGGAATCCATTACTCAATTTCGTCATAACACTTTTAGAAATTCCCATATTTACTTGGAAAGTTCTGTTCGAGAGCATGATATCTATAAAAGAAATGGACTTTTTGTTAGATGTTCTTTGAATATCAACGTACCGTTTAATGTAACTCCCATACACCTAGGGAATTTGCTGTCAGCAACACGTGGACTTTCAAAGGTCACATTGGTTCTTTTATTTCCATATTTTTAGTGAGATGCAAATAGCGTGCTTCTGTCTTGTTTGCATTTGGCTGCAGTCTTCATGTACGAAAGTAATTGCCAAGAGTTCTGAGGTCAGCTGTTAGAGTTTGTTCGGCCTTTTCAAAATTTTTATGTAGGGGGGCTATTGCATAGTCATGTGTATATCCGAACTTCTTGGATTGGGTTTTGGGCATATCTGCAATGTAAAAACTAAACAAAATTTGTACCAAGATTGAGCACTGTGTAAGTCCATTACTCAGTTTCGTCACACCACTTTTTGAAATTCCCATACTTACTTGGAAAGTTCTGTTCGAAAGTATGATATGTATAAAATAAATGGACTTTAAGCATGGTGAGTTCCCGCAGAAACTTGTTAGATAAGATCGTTAATATGACAGCAGCTTTTTGTTTTCTTTGAAACCCAGTTTCAATGTGTGTTGTAAGTGCTAAGACTTGATCGGAACAGCTGCTGTTGGAACTGAACCCTGACTGTTCTATGGGGATTCTTTCGAGTATTGGAGGAGCTCCTCTATTGTATAGTAGTCTTTCAAAAAGTTTATATAAAATATTCAGTAAGGAAATTTAACGATAGCTTTTTGGTTATAGCAATAGCATATTTTCCACAGTGTACGACGAACTCTGAAAGAATACCGTCTAAACCACGTGCTTCTTTGGTTTTTAACTCATTGATCTGAAAGTTGGGGAGTCGTTTATTTGGTCTTGTAGCATGTTTCTAACAGAAGAAGGAAAGGTAGAAGGCTGAAGACCAAGAGGAAGATCTCCCAAATAATGGCAGACCAAATTAAGACCCTGGTGGGAAAATCCATACATGAAGTCGTTCATATGGCAATGATCGCAGCCAATAAAGACAGCAAATTAGCAATATTTAGAGTGTCACCACTCCCTGTAAAGGGTTCAAGGAATGAGAAGAGAGAACAAGTTTTTGAGAAACTTTAGTTTTTCTTGAGCCTGGTCGTGTACAACGTCCACTAAGCGGATACAGCACTTAAAGAAGAAAACTTAATTATTTCCTCCTAACACTGCATCATCAGCATACATCAAGAACGAAGGACTATCTTTTTGAAATTTCCTTGTTATCCCATCCAGCGTCAATAATAATATCTAAGGACTAAGCTCTAAGTCTTAATGTAATCTTCATTTCACAACAAATTTATCAATCCCACACCTTTTAAAATAATAGTTGTTATTTCAACGTAGATATCTCTCATGACCATCAGATCCTCACAAGGAACTGTATCACAAAACTTTTCAAGATCAATCAATGTTAGCTTATGGGTGATAATTTTTTTATTGCTATAAATTCCATCAATTGCCTTGAATGGAAAGTGCATCTGGTGTTGATTTGCCTTGCCTAATTCCAAACTTATTTTCGGATACTGCGGTTTCCTCACGTATCTTTTATTAGATGAGTAATTGTCAGTAAATATGAATTATTTAAAGGAAGAAACCACTAAGAACAATATAATAAAAATAGGAGCCGAGCCCAATTGAAAGTAAACAGGACTTACGACTGAGATTTATATCAATATTCTCTTAAATTGAAAAATAGAGTGCTAACGTAACCGAGCGGACCCTGGTAGATCCCATAAGAGACTCAGGATAATTTTAAAAAATGGATACTAAAATTCATTGAATTGTATAGAAAATACTCTCTAGAAAAATGTACAATTTCAATAACATACAAATATTTTTGCGGGGAAATTTTAGTTTTTAAGATGCCTTAATACTGGTTAATCCAAATATTTTCAATATTATTTTATTGTTTTATAAATTTTTGCTATCAATAAGTCATGACTGAAAGCTTTATGTTTTCGATTCAATTGCGTTTATTTCAACAAATTCCAAAATAACAGTTAAAATAATCTATACTGTTATAATCTATACTAAAAAGCATTGTTCTGAAGCTATTTTCTTATGGCATTTTAATGCAATTATTATTTTTATTGGGAATAAACCACAATTTAAGTTTAAAATAAGTTTATTTAAAACATTAATAAATTAAATTAAACAGATTTTGTTTTTTGTTACTGGGTGAAAAAAATCTTCTAATATATTCAACAACATTCAAAACAACAAATACATTGAGATCTATTTTATCTAGAACAACCTAAAAATGAACAAAAAAGAACGAAAAATTGTATTTATAAAATACCTTGTGAATGCGATTATTTTTATTTAGGTGAAACATGAAGAAAATTACATATTACATGTTACATATGTGAACACGCATGAGAAAATGAATATACAGTTCAATTGAACGATTCAAATATAGTCCTAAACAAACAGATGGTAAAAAGAGAAAAATCAAAGAAGCGTCTCTAATTATGCTAAACGGGACAAATTGAGTTGCAAATTCCCCGGTAGAATGCAGTAGGATCTAGTACATCATCCAGCTAGCATTTGTCACGTCCAATGCTGGACATAGGCCTTCCTTAAACTCGTTTATTCTTTACGATTTTGTGCTCTTTATTGTCAATTTTTGGTGATACGCCTGATGTCGTCAGCCCAACGTGTATGTGGTCTTCTACTACTTTTGTCTGCTCTTGGCTTCCAATTTGTAATTTTGCTCGTCCATCGTGATTCGTGAATTCTCGCTACATAGCCTGCCCAGTTCCATTTCAGTTCTGCTATGTATTCCACAACATTAG